ACTRACAGGCAAACCCACTCCATTACCCACTTGAGTAACCCCATGATATCTGTGGGGTGACCAAGGTGACCTGCTGACCACAAATAATTTAGGTTACAATACAGGAAGTTGTCTGACACTTAATGGTCCAGGACTAAGCTCTCATTTTCTCATGGCCRTATCAGACAAGATGTTCAGAGTGAAACTTTCCATACCACGTGTCTGCCTGAGGCTGAAGGTGATGAATTTAGAGGTAAAAAGTCCAGAATGAGAGGAAGGGACAACAAAGGTACTTTCCCTGTGTTAAGAGTTTTATTTCTGCTCAAATGAGATGCTCCAGACCCTCCATGCTTTTAAGCAAGGGYTTGAAATTTTGCAGGGCTTAGATGTCAAGAATACACATTATGTCATTCACGTGAAAATTTTCCCAAACTGGATCACTCAGAAGACCTCTGCCAAGTTCCAGTTTGCACACGTTCTCCTGTTAGGAGTCTGGCAGTTGCTTTTTCCTCAATTTTAAGTTTTTCTCTGTGGGCCAAGTAGACATGGCAGGCTCCACATGGGAGTGCCAGCACTGAGCACCTCATCCTCCTGCTCTGCTGTCCCACTAAGGGCCAACAAAGCACAGGGCACATCATCTGGAAACACAATTCTCCACCTGTCGTTTTTTTCATACTGGACTCAACACAGAACTGAGACCAAATGAGAAATCTAGAGGTGGTAAGACATGCTTTTCACACCCCAAAGAACTACAAAATGATTGCAGAAATGCTTTGTAATTTAGTTAACGCACATATGCTATAAATGATATAGTATCATTTATATAGTGAAATCAGTGAAATTCTTCTCATTCTTAAGTTAGCAACTGCAGTATCAGATAATACAACAAGTAACACAATAAACCTAAGTCATCATTTCATTATGCAAGAGGATTTTAAAAGTTTTTAATGATACAGAAATGGTGACAGTGCTCTTTCCTGCCTACATTTTTTTAATACTTGGAAATGTGAAGTATACTGCAGAACCGAAGTATAAAACTGTGAGACAGTMAAATATTAAGATTCAGATGATGAATTACAAGATGTTTTTCTTGTGTGCCTTGAGGGTTTTGAGTGTTCAGGGTGTGATTTTATGACATCTGCAACCTCTTCTCCAGGAGGCTCAAAAATATTCTCTTTTAAACAAAATCAAATGCCAGCCAAGAATCCTGTATCATAATTTGATCCTAGAAGCCCAAAGTTCACAGAACAGCATCAACTATCATGAGATTTGTGATAAAAGTGCAAGATCTGACAATCCTGACAATAATTGATTCAGATTTGAAGAAAGAACCTGAATTCAATTACAYTTAATCCTGGGAGAAATTATTCAGGTACGAGTCTGTTGAATGCATTCATCCCAGTGATAATAATTTATAACTTTACCCTGCCATACAGATAATTGGATTCGATTCCCAAGGTACCAGGTTTCTGCTCACACTATCAGAAATGCCTTGGTCCAAAAGGGTACAAAAATACTGACTACAAACTAGAAGAGCTTAACGAATACTATAGGACAGTGGGGGACACAAAATCTCATTTATAGGCATGGYAAGAGCACAGCTGCATTACTCAAGAGTTATGACACTAACAATCACTTAGGGGACTGCTTTCAATTTATGCCTCTAAAGTGTTATCACCACACCAAAAAGTCCTCGTTTCAGGCTATTGTATTATTGTTAAATAAGGTTACTTAAAAAACCCATCAAAATTATTGTTATGTTTAATTGAYTGTGTTTTTCATACTCCTTTAACTGCATAAGTCAATGTTTAGCAGAGGAGATCCTCTTTAACGATCTCACATAAAAAAAACAGTGATTCAAATCTTTTGTAGTAAAAAAAACCCTTTTGGACTTACATCACCCATGGGGATATCTACATTTAAATGACTCCATAATTCAACATTACCTATTGTCCTGAAGAAATTATAGGAAGACTGACTACAAAAGGAAACATTTCTTTCACAAGATCATTTTCTAAAAGTAGGAGCTGTTCAAAGTTTCTCAGGTGCTGGGAATCTGAGCCATTGTGAGTGGAGATAAAGAGGTGGGCAGAGTACAGGTGAAGCAGTGAGTTCACAGTCAATGAACTCATCCACACCTGGGAATTACCACATCAGAAACATAATTCAGATGTGCTAGGAAGGTTGTCAGAAGAAACATGTTCATTGCAGGAAGCTATTTAAAATATTTCCAAAAAAAGTGTCAGTAAGACCGATTCTTTCTACTTAATTCAACCTTTCACCAGTTCTGTCTCAATAAATTAATACAACATGAAATGATGAGAATATGTGAAGCTTAGATGAAAAATGCATCTAGGCCATAATTTCCTGCATCAGGGCCAAAAAATTATGAACGAAACTTTCCAAGGACAAAATAGAAAGAGTTGTTCATAGATTAAGAAAAGGTTTTAAGAACTACAAAGGAAGAAATTAATAATGACTATTATTAAGTAACTGCTGATGAATGCCTTCTGGAATAATGCAGAATATGTCAGATGTCAAACAGGTTAATGTGGGAACCAAACTGCTTTCTCCTTACTCCAAGACACTCCCAGGTGATGTGTCTGGATGGTCACAGCAAGTCCAGCACCAGGCCCTACACAGCAGGTCAAGGGAGGTCTCGTGAGAACCATGACTGGAATTTCTCTTGGTAAACAGCAGCAATGGACCTCAGCTCTCCCACTGTTTTGCTGCTGCTGCTGCAGCAAAAGGATTCTTTGCCTTGACATCTGCTGGGATTTAAATTGATCATTTATTTAAATTTACCTGGTTTATGTTCGTATTGAAGAATGACAATGACATTGATTAACTGGCCATTTTACAGTACACAAGAAGGGCCAAGCAAGGCCAAGCAGTCACTCATTTCYACCTAAGCCAATCTGTTTATAGCAYAAAGAGGYAAATAYGGATCCAAACATGTGCTAAGGCTCTCCTGTTGTAATGCTTTGCCCTTTGCACCAATTCCCCCCTGGCAGCCTTTTGTTACTACACTGTGTCTGTGGGGATCCCCACAGCTGGCAGAAAAACACAAAAACTACAGAAATGTCCTCACTTAATTGTTTTGGCAAAAAAAAACCCTGAGATATTGAGTTGTGTGGCTTCCACCAGCACAGAAATGTGTCACTGAAGGAGCCAAGTAGTGGCACACAGTGAAATTCACAGAACCTGCAGAAAATCAGAGTGTTTGGCCCCCACAGGAGTAACACAGGGATAAGTGAATGAAAAATTCCCCTTGCAGAGCTGCTGGACATCCTCAGATTTTGGGGAACTCTTGGAGACTGAATAACTTTATCAACCCAACACAATGGCTGTCATTCATTATGATGGATGGGGATTCCTGTGTCCACCCTGACTTTGYTGATGTCCCAGCAATGCCACAGCTCCCTTGACTGTCCCTCTGGAGARGGAATCACAAAATCCTGAAATCGTTTGGGTTGGAAGGGACCTTTATAGAAGAGAGGCATTCAGAGTCTGTCCACTCTGGATGTCCTKAAAAATGACACAAATTAAATACTGAACTTTTCAAAAAGACATCACAGAACCAATCTGTCCCATGGGTAAACATTAATGAGGCAAAGATTTAGCATTTACTCTCAACATCTAGAGAACAGTATTGATGCTACCACAAAAGACTGTTTTTTTAAGAATTTTTTTTAAATGTGATTTTTTTTATACATCTGCATTTTYATTYACCAAAACAGAACTCTTTAAAACCAGGTATGCAGAGCAGGCAAACTCCCCTCTTGTTGCAGAAGAACAGGAGTAAAATGCACGCCAATTCCAAACCCTTCATGCAGGGAGGCTTTACTGCACAAAGCCAAATTAGGCTACACAATACCAGTAAGTCTTTTTTGTTACTAATCATCACCTGCATAGGTGAATCAAGGTTAATCACTGCAGGAAACTGTTAGGAAATAAATTTTACTGAGAAAATTACCAATTAAGTTTCCCCAGTGGCAAACCAGCATAGCTGCAAGTGTTTGAGCAACTCTGGGAACAACAGCATTATCCACAGGCTGAAAGTTAACTATACTTTAGTATAGTGCAGCAGCAGGATGTAAAAGAAAAACCTTCATGTACCAGCAGCTATAATGGACATGCTTTTACTCCATCTTCCATGCACATATAAACACACGTGTGCGTGCACCTTCTACTTCAGGGGCTCCCCWACACGTTGATACATGCAAGTTGTTTGTAACATGCAAATCAATGAGCACAGGCAAAGCTTTCAGCTTCTCAGAGTATCTCCCTGATCAAGTGTGCTTTTGCAAACAGATGCTGCAGAGAATGAAAACAACCATCCTGACTAATTCCATCTCTCTCAACAGAAATCCTATCTTTAAAAGTCACTCACCACTGAATGGCCTTTGGACTGCAGAAAATGTGAAGTATGCTTTAATTACATCCCCAGTGGCCTCCCATTTGAGGTCCTGTCCACTGTATCTCTGGCAAGACAGTCTTATCTCTGGATATTTTTCAATTACACTAAACAGCATATATTGTGGTCCTCACTGATTCACTGTATCAGTATGTGGCTTTTTTCTTTAACAGTTGTTTTGGAAAGGCAAGTCTGCCTCATTAAACAATGTAAGAYTTCTAGTAACACATAATGATATTGGATACATTAATTAACAGTACATTCAAATGGAGTCCTCAGAGGATCATGCTGCTGGCATGTTTGTATTTAATGTGTTAATATCAACTCACATTCTTACAGGAGAACTGTTGCTTTCTAACAATACATTCTAGTTGTGATTAAGCACCACTTAATATGCTGTCCCTGTATTTTAGTGTACTGTAACATTCATATGTTTCAATCCCATTTATTTCCTCTTTACAACAGTCACACATATGCATGAAATAGACTGGATAATATCAGCCCTGTGTGGTGAAAATGTCTTTTCTCTGTGATCTGAGTTTTCAGAGACAGCCTCTTGCAGCACTSTACAATACACAGCAAAACTCCCTCGAGCACATCTTACCTCTTTGGTGTGGGTATGGAAGGAGACTGACATGTCCAAGAGAAGTTTCCTCTGTTCCACCCTCCGGACAAAGTCCTGAATCCGAACTTCCAGATGCCGGGCTGCTTTATAGATCTCTTCAGGGTCACATTCCCCAGTCTGAGCCAACTGCTCGGCAGCCTCCAAGAGCTTGTCTGCATTGGTGTATGTATTCTACCAGCAAACAAAGCAAGAAACACAGAATGAGTAATACAACTGTGGCAAGTAAACCCCTGAAAGAGGCTGCTTATCCTTAAGGCATGAAAAAAAAGTGATTACCAGAGTTTTAAAACAATAGCAGTATTTCCTACTGGCATTACCATCTGTGAAAGGAGAACGTATAAAGCTACGCAGACTAATCCCTGAGTACACATGAAATAATTTCTTATTTGAAACACACTACCCCAACCCAATCCTGCCAGGCACAGCAATAAGACTTCCCACTTGTTTATTTCCAAGTTCTCTGCAATTTCTCAAAGATAATGCAATGAAGCARCCAGCTCAGAGGTCTACAGTGCCTCACATGATGCTCAGCCACCAGCTCGCTGCAATGGCCTCCCAACTCACATTACAGCATGTAATCATGTCAGCTAGAGATGTTTCAGCCCCAAGAAATATTTGCCTTTCACTGGGTTTTGTGAGCTAGACAATATCTCCAAGCTCCTTCCATGTTTTTTTCCTCTTGTCTACTGTTCTGCATTGCATTTCTCAATGGAGTGAGTCCATGTCATTCMCTTGCAGCTGCCAGTGTGTAATGCTCATTTCCAGTTTGCCCAGGGCACATACCTGCCCTGCATTGCATAAGAATTTGAACRCTGCACTGTCCTGGATAGATTTACCCCACAGCCATGGCCTTTGTGGGATGAGGTATATGACTCCCACCTTACAGAGAGGGAACTGAAGAACCCAGAAGCAAATTAATGTACCCAAGACTTGCCACATTGATTTCAAGCTACCTGCCCATCCTTTCTCTATCTTTTTCACATTTCTGGAAAACACCACTCAACTAAAACACCASAGAGTCTCATAAACAGCAGAAATGGAAAGTGAGTGCAGTCATCTTCTCCAGAACTGTAGAGCTATACCTTAGTCAGMTATGTTTAACAAACTAAACACAGCCAGCCCTTGCTGTCATATTAAAGCTTTCTTCACTCAAGAGGAGGCCTACAGCTCTGTGGTATTCAACACTTAACAAAAATAAGGAGAGACAAAGATATCAGCCTAAGGGTGTTTCCAGTACTGGACTAGATCTTCAGAACTGCTTGGCACTGGTTTAAGATTGCTCCCACTGGGAATTTTAACCTCCACATCAAYAGAAGAAGGATTGTAGCACTTTCCTTGTCAAAATCCTCCTCAGTTTAAAAATGCATTAACTTGATGCATAAACACAAAATACCTTTGGACACCGTGGACACACATGCAATTCTGAGCTTTACACAAATGCTGTCAAAAATAAAAGCCATCAATCAAGCCATGTTGTTCCTGCTTAGATAATATTCTGCTGCAGTCAACAGTGGTTGCTTGAGAAAATATTCAATACAGAGATGGAACACTGACCTCCAAGTGTTTAATGGGGGGAAATATTTCTAGTTATAAAAAGCAAAAAGAAAACAGCTCATTCACTGTTCATTTTCCCTGTTTCTGTGGGCTGACTACAAATATCAGGTATTTGCATTTTTCGTTTTGGACTGTGAAGAACATATTCRAGACAGTTTTGTTACCAATATTAAATTTTTATTGCCTCACTTTCAGGCTACTGCTATAATRGTTAGGCTGTTAACAGCAGCAAAATTTTATGTTTTAATAATCATTTTTTGGAAACCTCTTTAGCTGAGAGTTTGTAAAAAATGTTCCATTTAACGTGATCTGAATTAGGGTCCAGTTTCACTTAACAGCATCCCTTCTGAATGATCCTCTTCCAATAGTATTTGRAGCAGATGCCAAAGCTAGCACTATTTTTCAAAGTCTAGTCCACTCTGGGGTTTTTCACACATTACCACTACAAGAGTTCACACACCAGTCCAGCTCCCTGAGCAGAAGAATGTTCCTGCTTTTATACCTAGCATTTAACATACTTGTAAATGCCTTTCCTCTCTCCTTGCGGCACAGATTTGGGACACAGAGCACCTTTGTTGAAATACAGTATAAACACAGCKTTGCTGCATTTGTCCCTAACACATTTAGGTCCATCTCTGCTGCAAGCCATTACAGATTTACTAACTCCAACACCTCTATATTGAATTACCTGTGGATGACATGAGTTCACTGATACAATGCCCAGATGTCAATACCCTGGTGAAAAGGGTGTAGGCTGAACACTTCAGGGGGGAAAAGAATGCAGTCTGGCCTCAACAGAGGCTCTGGCCTCACTATACAGACAATAAAAGATGCAGTGGTCYGGAAGCAGCCCCTTTGCATTGCACAAGGTTCTCCAAARGCAAAGGGGATTTTCTRCAGAGARGCTGTTTGGGTGTGGAAGGAGCCAYGCTCTGTTTTCCCTGGGCTGTGACAATGCATGTGAGAGTACAAGGATGCTTCCCTCAAGAATTCATACCTAATTTTGGATGTGTTTGCATAAATGTGCCATCCTCAAAAAGCTTGAACACAGCGCATTTTGAGTATGGGGATATTTTTGTTCACCTCTTTTTCTGTCTTTGTCCACTGAGGAGGTCAATTYAGTGCAGCATTTTGGTTTTGGCCCATGTGCTTTCACAGAATATTATTCCATTTAGTTTTTATCTACTCCTAGGAACTACACGTGTAACAGTTTATTGCTGYATGTTTCTAGGCTGATTACATTGAAAATAGCTGTGTCTAGTGGTAGTCCAGGGCAGAGTTCATGCCCTTAATCTGGACAATTTTTTTCCAGAACAATCTCCATTTGCACACTATTTTACAGCTGTATATTATATTTGAGGGGTCATGTTAAACACAAACTACATACCCTAGACTTCCCTTCTCAAGTAAATGTTGAGATAAGGGGAATGAGGAAGCACTAGTCTGTATTGATCAAGTTCTGGGGCTGTGCAAGGCAGTTCCAGGCAAAGGTTCCTTGTACTGATTCACAGAGCTTTGTCAGCTGAGTTTTACCATTAAAAAGGCACGGAAGAGAAGGCATCTCTGGAGGCCAGTAAGTACCAGCTAGAGAGAGAAAGAAGACTAGCTTAGATCTGATATTCTTGACTAAAGACTAGTGACATGAATCCCATATTATGCCTGCAGGCTGAAGTTTAGGAGACTTATTAGGCTCTCTCTGATGTGATATCTCCTTTATGTTCTTTAGAGTCGTGACTCGACTCTTCAGCACCAAAGATGAAATCTCTGTATCAGCACTCCTGCTGGGAAAGTTGGGATGTTGAGACAAAGTTCAAAGCCTGATCCATCTCTTACTGAAAACAGTAAAAATTATTTTACTGACTTCAGGGAGAATTGGGTCAGGCTTCTAACCATCTACCCAAGATCACAGGAGGAAAAAATGGGAAAAAAGCTAAAAATAGAACTATGGAGGCCTGGTACCTGTTCTGTGCATAGAGAGTGAGTAGAACTCCTGCCCAAAGAAACTACAGCATGATTCACATTGGTAAAATCATAATTATGGAGCTGATTCTGCAGTTCTTGTCAAGCCTTATAAACTACTGTTATTCTYAATTATGAAGCTCAGTTACTGCCATCAGATTCTTCACTCAAGCGACTTTGTTAAAATTAGCTCCAGTATTTGTTGAGGTTAAGTGATCTCAGAGTCAGGCCTTTGTGGAGAATTATATCTTTAGTAACTTGATATTCTAAAGCTAAAATAAGTGACCGCAATGAAACATTTCTTTGATAAATAAATCTGAGGTTTAAGGAAGCATCCATCTTTGTCAAAATTCCTCCTTCCTTAAGAAGGGCAAAGGCTAAGTGCATATGATGATCTAATATAAGTTGTGATTTTATTCCATTTGAATTGCACATAATCAAATCAAGACTTACATTCTTACTTGTRCTCTGTTGCTCTAATTCAAAACAGACTTACCAGGAATTACAGTTACAGAAGTTACAGGCAGAACATCTCTCTGAGGTCATGCAGCCACTCGCTGTCAGTACAAGATTATTCCCCACTATACACTGAAATGGAAACTTCTTCAAACCTTTTAAAAAATACCCAGGCTAATGAAATTTCCATCAGCACCTTCTTCAGACTGTTCTTCCCTTAAATATAGAAATTCATCTTCAGTTTTTCTTGTCTTAATTTCACCCGAGTTCTCCTTGCACTGTTCTTCCTGAAGTTTGAGTTCTTAAAATACTACAGCCTGTTGTATTCATCTTTTGATGAACATGCAAGAACGTGACTACTTTTAAATGAATTAATCACATCTGCATAACTGCTTGAACAAATAAGGGTCTCAGGTAAGATAGTGAGCGCAAGCATGTGTGACTGTGTGTCCAAGAATCACTTGACAGTTTCAATGGCATTACTACAATTGTCAGAACTGCACCTATCTGCAAACACAGTGAGGAACCAGAGTGCCTGGAATGYCACCYATRCTTCAGCAGACCAGCATTTTTCAGTATGAATTAAATATAAAATATTCCCAGGAATGAGAAGGTGGATACAACCCAGAATCCTCACTGACCATAGCAAAGAACCAGGTATTTTTCTATGTATTCCTTTTATTTATGGTTTTCCTTCAGGGTTCACATACAAACCAAGATGAATTTATTATTTGAATTTAAAAGAGTGACATTTACACATTACAGCAACTGCTAAAACACCAGATAAATTGATTAAAAGCTACCTTAGACCTTCAAACTAATAAATAAGCAAGATTAGAATTAATAGCTGGGAATACATTAGCTAAAATAATTCCTCTTTGTGCTATTTCATATTGAGTGCCTACTTTAGATTAAAAAATATGTTGGCTGTGGTGTATTTCATCCCATCAATTGTTCATCTCAATCAGGAGTACACTCATACATCAAGTAGAGAATACTTCCATTACCACAATCATGTTAATTAACTCCAGTGTGATCACAACYGTTATTCAATGAAATGCCAGTAAAATATACAGTGAAATGTTTTAAATCACATTTAAAAGCATAAATCATATATCACATCCACTATAGTAAGTATGCAAAGACACACAGATGCACAYGTGTGTGTACATACTACAAACACACAAAGAACAAAAGCACAC